AATTTACAAATATTAGTTTATTTGTAATATAGAATGTTTTGGGAATATGCAAGTAAATTCAATCCAAGGTTACAAACGCCAAATGAGTTTCCTGAATTTGAAGTTTGTTGTAATGGTTATCGCTCTATGCATTTCAAACTTCTGGATCAAAAGTAAGTTTTTAAATATTGTACGGGTAATGCGGTTTAAGATGTAAAAGTTATAGTTAGACATTAAAATTTTACAATGCATTTATAGGATGGAACGTATTACCTCTCGTGCAATTGGATTCATACCCTATGAGTTCGTACAAGTATGGAATGATAAAGGATATGGTTTGAAATACAAAAAAAATAACTTGTCTTTTGTGTGCTTAAGTTTTGGAAGATTGTTACATGTGAAGGTTTGTGTAAATTTTACAATCCATTGGTAGTATATATAAAGAGACAAATTTTTTTGTCAATGATTTAATGTTTGTAGGTGAACAAATTCTGGTAAACGATTATGGATATTCAAGGTTTTGGTTTGATCCTGAACTATATTGACTTAAGAATAAAAAACAATGTAAGAATAAATCATATGTCATACTCATAGCATGTGAAAATTGCAACAAGATATATTAAACACATTATTTGCATATTTTGCAGCTCTAAATTCGTTGGTTGTTACCACATTAACCACATCATATGTCAAGACGAAGCATCAATATATAAGTATTGTATTTAGCTATGTTTATGTTGGTGAAACTTCTTAAAACAATTTAAATATTCTGCAACAATTTAAATTTATGCCTAATTAATAACGTAAAAAAGCCAACAACTTTTGAGTTCTATATAATAATCTCTACAATAATTATTTGAGAAGTAGAAACGCACCATATTGAAAGTTAGGGCATTGGAGGCCTGTGGTTAAAAGTTAGAATGATTTGTCCTAAACACCCTTAATGAATTGTTCTTCTCGAAATTTCTCCTTCTTCGTAATTAGGGGTATATAAGTCTAATCGTGTGTTGATCTCTATAATAATGTCCTAAACACCCTCAATTCGAAAATTTTTGTTCTTAGTTGTTAAGGGTATATAAGTCTAATCGTGTTTTGTGATGATTAGTCTTAATCACCCTTAATTTTTTTTATTTTATAGTATGATCGTTGGGGATATGGAGGTCATAATATCTCGACTTTAATGATTATGGAATCTTAGCTTTAATTTATATGTTATTTTTTGGATAATTTCTATATCTTAGTAGTTAATATTCGTTTTTGTTAGTTTTCTGATTTAGTTTCTAATTAAAAAAGTTAAATTTCTTAAGATAATATCGGAGGTTTGCCCTAAGTTTGAGGCTATAAATACAGAGTTTCTGCCCCACAGTTACGAACCAGCTTTTTATGTTCAATAAATAGTTTTGCTATTAGGGTTTTTTATATTGCTTATCGAATTTCTTATCATGCGATTATGCTTTTTGTTATATGAATTTGTTGGTTGTTCTACGAATTATTTATTTATTTTTACTGATTTTGTATCTTTTGATTTCTGTCTTAGGTATACCGATCGTGAAGTTTCGATAAAAACGAGTTTAGACAAACGAGTTGCTGAAGTAAAAAAGAAAGTATGATAAGGTATTATTAGTGTTTGTTTTAATTTCAGTGCGTTTGTATTTTTATTTTTTGGTTTGATCGATTATTGATGATCATTGTGAATTAATCTCTATTTCATGTATATACATGGTAGAGTTTACTAATATTTTTTTATTATATAAAATTTATATCA